GAGAGAGTGTGTGTGTGTGTGTGTGTGTGTGTGTGTGTGTGTGTGTGTGTGTGTGTGTGTGTGTGTGTGTGTGTGTGTGTGTGTGTGCTGTTCTTCAGCACTGCTGTGTTTGTCTGCTGGGTGCTCAGTTATTGTCAGTATGATATCTGTATTTATATCACTGATATCAGTTCTGCTGACAAATATTTCAAATAGCAGCTTGTTACTTAAACCATTTGTTGAATTTATTTTTTCCTAGAATTTAATTCCTAGGAACTGAGAAATGAGATTTTAAATCTCAAGAGTTTCATTCCCTGGTTAAATAAATGTTTACAAAAAAAAAAAAGTCACTTCATTTTACGTTTGATTTCAATTTCTTTCTTTTTTTTTTAGCCCAGCCATGAATATTTGTAGAGATGAAATCCACGTCTTTACTCAGATTACGTGAAAAAAAATATTTACATTTTTGTTAATCTAATTTAATTTAATTTCATAATATTTTTGTATTATTTTCACCCCGCGTCATTGCTCAAAGTATGTGGATTTAATTGAGATGTGTTGAATTTATTTTTCTTTATGTTATTTTGCTCACAGAGATGAGATCCAGTGTTATGATGACACTGTGTGCATGTATTTACTCTTTTATGTGAATCTGCTTTGACCTCGATGTTCTTTCGGGAACTGAGAAGCTTTTAATTGCTTAAAAACATAATTAATATTGACGATAATCAAGCTGATAATTGTATTATGAGATCAGGTATTAGATGGCCTTCTTCACTTTTCTTTGGTTTGGGTTTTGGTGAAGAACATGTTAACGAGCAGCAGGTGAAATAAGAGTCTGAGTTCATAATGAATCATCACTGGATCATAAAGTTCATCTGGAAGGAACATCGGGTTAAATCAGACTCAACCTCATGAAATCACATGAAAACAGCTATGAAACTTTGGTTGATCTCTGCTATAATATCACTAAAATGTCTGATATGAGCAGTGCATGTTTTCAGATGATTGTAAGAGCTGATGGATGAAGCTGAGCACTAAACCCGTCTCTCTCTCTCTCTCTGTCTGTAGGAGACTCGTCTCTAGTCGGTGAGTTCAGCATGTTTCTTCTCTTCTGCTGATCTTTATAAAGATGTCTTGAGCCACTGAAGGTTGTGAGCGTGACTTTCATGTCAAACTGCATTATTATTCTCTCTTTCTGTTGATGATGCTGTTGATTATGCGTCACCACATAAAAACACACAAAACACAAGTGTGCGTGTAGCGTGATACATTGTATTCTCCCCTCTATCTGTCTCTCTCTCTCTCTCTCTCTCTCTCTCTCTCTCTCTCTCTATTCATAATGGCGGCTGTTTGAGACTGTATTGGTTTCGATCAATCATACTCTGCTTAGAGCTGAATGTGTTGACCGCTGCAGTTCTGCTGCCTTTCACTGAAGACATACGAGGCAGAGAAATGAAACGACTGGAGACTTTTGACTTTCACACAGTGTTATTGACCACGCTCAGCTAAACACCTTCACACACACACACACACACGGCTGATGTTTTCTCTGAGTCTTGGCAGATCAGGAGCTGTTTCTAAAGCAGTCATCATGAAAGTCTCAACGCTGCCTCAGTGTCTTTGTGACAGTACTGTATGTTTGAAGATCTGCTAAACATGCACTGGAACTGAATTCACACGCAGGTCAACTTGTGTTTTTAACCTAGACCCTAAAATGACATTCATAACTATGTGTAAATCGTGGATGCTTTGGAGCGCATAAAATAGACACATGGCAGATTATTGTTGAAGTGACAAACCGTTCATGTGTAACAGATCCTGTTGAAGACATGTTACATCATAAATGGAGAATTTGTCTATATTTTTGAACATTTCAGACAAGAAAAACTTCAATGGATGTTATGTTTTGAACTCTTCACATGAAAAATAATCAGGGTTTCCTCAGATCTTTGCATGATTGCACGTTTATCTTCATAAAAGTCTGAATGGTGTTTACGATTTTGCTGCATACTCGTTACAAAAATTAGTTTGTCCAGATTAGCTTAGGTTAATTGCCTTTTGTTTAGTAATACATGTTATGAACTGAGCATGTTAAAGCACGTGAGTGCTGGTGTACGCGAGCTGAGAAGCTTCAGTCTGCGGCGGGGCTCGTCGACTCTCACGGTCGCTGGTTTTGTGGTCTCCTGCTCGAGTGGGATTTCAGAGGCACTCCGGAGGAATTATGGGAGATGTAGTCCGCGGAAGTAAAGCATACTCCTGACCAAACGTGCTAAGCCTGAGAGATAAAGAGACAGACAGAGAGGATGTTATCTGGAATACGCTGAAATACTGCAGTGCTGTCAGAAAGAGAGTCAGATGATGTGTGTTTGGAGCAGCAGCCGCTCACATTAATACTGTTCTGAATGAAGTGTGCTGGATGACCAGTTCATCATCTGTAGTTCTGTTCAGTCCTCAGCGAGCGCTGTACCTGGACAGCATTCTGAGCAGCACACTCATTTTTAATCAAAATCTGCACAAGCAGCAATATGATTCAGAATCAAGCATCTGAGGCATCAGCGGGCATTGAAACAGCCCCCGCACTGTATGTGTGTGAGTGTGTGTGTGTGTCTGTGTGTGTGTCTAAACTAATTAAAATGAGACAGAGTCGCACGGATATACGGCGAGGACAAACACACACACACACACACTCTCTCTCACTCTTACACACACACACACACACACACACACGCACGCAGTTGATTGGCTGATATCACCATAGGACATTTAAATGGTAGTTGCACTTAATTAAAAATGAAACTTCCTGTTGTTTTTTTGTTTGTTTGTTTCTTCAGAGACAAACATTACTGCATTATCTGTACAAAAAATGCATT